ATAATAAGGGCACCCTTTTTGGGTTGGTTATTTTATAAGGAAACCCATAACCAAAAACATAAAGGGTAAAGGGTACCACTAGGCTACCAAGCCAAACGGTCGGATTCAGCATTTGCATGTCCAAGCCGTGGAAAATGCCCCACCAGAGCCTTATGCTTCAGATGGGTGAGACCTGAATTGCCTTCTAGTTGCAAAAGGGTTTAGGTTTAGGGTTGAGGGTTTAGGGTATTCAGGGTTGAACTCAAGAACCTCGTGCAGATGCCACTCCCCGACCTGCCTGAAGCGATCGGGAATACTCCTCCCCCAGGTCTTGCGGGGGTGTGCGAGGTAAGGATTGGCACAACACACGATGGGCTGCCCGAGTTGCTTAATTGGCCCAAGGTATGGAGCTTGGTTTGACTCGAAGCAACAGCGCTGAATTGACCCAAGGTCCATACACCTAAACAGAGAATACATGGGCCTTGAAGTGTTTCTTATATGAATATACATGTAGGGACTTGTGGGCCCAAGTGGTAGATAGTAATTACCGAGGCACATGGGGACCCGTAGGGACAACCCTTCCCAAAGTTTAGGGTTTAGGGTTACCCCCAATATCCATGTCTCACTTGTCGCAGGGGTCTGCCCCCCTCGGCCGGTCAGGCTTCCGCCAAAATGGTGGAAGATTTGCTCCTGTGGTGTTTCAACTCCTTGATACTTTGATCTTTTAGGGGCGTTTGAAGGGTGAAGGTTTAGTAGCCCTACAGGGTCTAGGAATGTACGATAGAACCATATTTGAAACCTGAACCCCAAACCCAAATTCAACCTTAACTCCTGACCGAAATACCCTGTCAGTTCATTCCTGTCCTGGCCTGCATTGCATGGTGTTCGAGTCATCCCAATTGCGATAACAGCAGCTGCAGCGAGGGCACAAGCGGGGCCTTTGTAGCCCAGTAACCATCTGATAATAAGGGCACCCCTTTTTTGGCGTTGGCTACCTTACAAGGGAACCCAGAACAAAAAAAAAACAGTAAAGGATACTGGGCTACCAGGGGACTGATTCGGTTTAGCCTGACAACTGCCACTTGCACCGAGATCCCACAGCAGCCCAGCAGTGAGACTAGTGCGGACTGCATCCAGTCCAGCGCGCGCCATGTGAATCGGGGTCTGGCAAACCTATACTCCCCTTAGAACCTCAATAAACATAATATGTTTAATATCCTCTTGGGTTTTATAAAAACAGAAATAATTCCCAAGGAGGATATAGAAGCCGCCGCGCTAGCCAGAAGAAAAACTTGATAAGCCAGATGCCCACGACATCAACTGAGACGAACTGCGCAAACAATCGCGCGACCACGTCAGCCCTCACATCCGCTGCAAGAAGTGCCCCGATAACATCGAGATGAAACCCCATGACCGGACTTGCGGCCATCAAACAGTATTTAAGTGGAACTCGATTCTGAGAAACGTTCTTCTTGAGCTCCTTTGCCAACACCTTCTGGACGTAGTCGACGAAGTGCGGCAGGCTTCCGTACCAACGGGATATAGCCGCATGGATGAACTCTCGGTCGATCTCCTCTAGTTCATGGTTGGGATCGGATTAAAAATTTAAATTTATATTCCTTATTGGGTTTAAGTACCCTTAAAAATGTAAAATGATACCCAACTACGACCAAGTGTCCTTGGTGCACGTTGCTGCATTTAGGTCGAAGTCCTCGAGACTCCGCAGCATCCTCGGTAGCTTAATACTTGGAGGGTCGGGGGACTTAGTAAGCAGATAGTAAGTAGACTTAGAAGTACCCTAAAGGGGACCCTAATTGGAGTTATCCTACTTATAACTCTATTGGATAACTACTTACTAAGTCCTCCGAATATTCTCATAAGGAGACCCTTTTGAGGGGCTGGCTAGCTTTTTCATGGGAGCCTCGAACCGCCCAGAAAAGGGACAAGAGGGCACCACTGGGCTGCCAAGGATCTGCTCTTGGTCCAGAAAGCCATGCCTCGCTACGTGCACCGCAGGCGCCAGCCATAAAGGGGTCAGAACCAGAAACCATCCGGGTGGAAGCTCTATCGAAGGGCTCACGAGGCAGATGTATGAGACGGAGGTGAGGACAAAGCAGCAGATCCATAAAACCAGGAAGTCGCGCTCGATGAAGAGAGCTTGAAATCTCACCTTTCCCAGTGGGTTGGCCCGCCGGTACGCAGCCAATTCGAAAACACACCACAAGCGGGACCTCGGTTAAGTTTTGTTGTCTTGCAGCTTAGGCTTTAGTCTCCTCAGAGATTTATTGGGAGTTTAGAGCTTAGGAGCTTTACTGCAATCCTGTCCCTCGAGAAAGGCTTGTTGGGATTTAAGATGAGTTTGAGGTGGTCACTTCGTCTTGATTTGGGTTAAGGGTTTAGGGTTTAAGGAATTGAAAGTAATGAACGCCTGCAGTCGAAAGCTCGCGTAAAGATCACTCCCAACACAAAAGAATCAGCACCCAGAATCCCCTAAACCCTAAAACCTAAGCCCTAAACCCTGAACCCTAGCCCTAAACCCTGAACCCTAATGTTTCGGTCGCTTTAATAACCCGCCCCCCCCCCCCCCCCCCCCCCCGGATTTGCTCCGGCGCTGGGTCCAAACAAAACTTTAGGGGTGCCGGGTGGTAATAGTAACCCTAAACCCTACACCCTACACCCTACACCCTAAACCCTAAACCCTAAACCCTAAACCCTAAACCCTAAACCTCTTGAAAAAGTGGCCTCTTCTGGTCGGCTTCTGGGTAGTAACTGGAATTTAAGAATTTGCAACAGGACTTCTCTCAAAAACATATTTGAAAATTTCTCCCGCAATTTTTTTCACTATTGCCACCACTGTTTTAATTATCACACCGAAAAAATGGGAGATCAAGCTCTCAACAACCTAGCGTAATGGAAATCGCTCATGAAACAAACTTTTGGCCAACATCTGCCGGCAAACTTTCCACTACTACCACCCGGTTTATTGGTGCTGCCTTTATATTAAAACCACCCCTGCGTCCTTACCCCCCCAAGATGCCGAAACCCCCCTGCAATCAGCCCCAAGTGGCAGGTATGGCCGACTCCATAAGATCCGCAGTTGCGTGGACCTGGCAAGGAAGCCCCCGATCGAAGCGATGCCACGCTCTCGACTCGATGCGTCCTCTTGGTCGATGCTCACCAAATCGTAGAAACATCTCTGCGACTGACATCCACACGCAGAGGCTGCATCTGGTGCGACGAAGAGCGCACCGAGAGCAAACAGGAAGGTCAAGCATCCTCCCCAGATGCCGCATGGAACCTCCAGTTGAGTCGCCACCGCCTGGTAGACAAAAGGCATGGGCAACATGTTCACTTCGTAGAGTAAGAGGACGCTGATGGCTACCGCCACCCATGCCATAAAGGCGAAGTGAAGGTACGAGCTCAACAGCAAGGACAAGTACTTGTAGTATCCGGGCGTCATCCAAGTGTGGGAGATGAATAGATCGAACACCTGGCCACATGATCAGAGGGGAAGTTCCAGATACCACATGTCTGCTGAGCTCATGTCTGCATGAGGTGGGGAGGGTGCTTACTACCAGGCCAGTATACTCAAAAGGCAAAAGGACACCAACACACATTCTCGCAAAGTTCGTGTCAAACGATTTAAACGTCTGTTGATACGGGTCTAGGGGGCCATATAGCTACTTCCACACACTCCTCTAACCCAAGGGCTTGTTGTAGGATCCTACCGTTAGGACCAGGCAGGACTGTGTTGGGGGACTGGACCCTTTGATACTGCGGCCCCGTAGCTATGAGGCTACGAACTTCAAGACACGCCTCAGCCTAAACCCTAAACCCTTAACCCTAAGCCTAAAAAATCAATCCCAAACCCAATCGCTAGCCTCCGTCTCACTCGATGCTGCCCTCAATCGTCGGCACTCAGGTGTGCTAAGGCTACCAGGGCGGAAGCGCCAAAGCCACCCAAAGGACCGCAACGTGGTACGCATGGAAACTGAGCGGGGGCTCACTCCAGCGGCAATGTCGTCCAGCAATGAGCCTTCCTTACGGGCTGGGACAAAAGGTTCACCTTGCGTTCTTTTGATTTATGAAGGGGGTGTAGAATACCCCAAAATGTGAAAGGTTACATACTCAGCACTTCAGGTTCTTTGCCAACTACCCAGGATGAAGCCGAAGAGGACGGCACTCGGGCAAACTCACTATCGAGTTCATGAGATGCGCCGCCTGCTTCCCTGAGCTCGGCAATCTCCACATCGCAATCAAAGGTGCACATAGGCTCGTCGAAGTCCTGCGCGTGTGGTTTGTAGAAATTGCATAGGGTTTGGGTTCAACTAACGTTTTGACCGAAAGTGTTAACCGAAACGTTTTGTTTCTTGGAACTATGTTTTTCTTTTTTTGGGGGCTGCGGGGGGGAATCTGGAGGGGGGGGGGAGGTTGGGGGGAAAGTAAATTGAGTTTGGCCTCCCAGAGGTGTTTTGGATTAATTTGCTTAAACTCAGCTTGTCAGCTGTTTAGACAAATCACTTGGCAAATTCAGCATGATGCCATATACAACTTCCATTGATTTTGTCTTGAGGGTTTAGGGTTTAGGGTTTAGGGTTTAGGGTTTAGGGTTTAGGGGTTGTTCATCCCTGAACCCTAAACCCTAAACCCTCATCCCTGGGGCTGCCCCTAACATGAGTTTTTGACCTTTGCGCTGTGATGCTCGAACGGTTTTCTCGAAGCTTGCTTCGACCTATAAAAGAAGGCTTCTGGGAGCCCAAGGGAGGCCTTGGGTTTAGGGTTTAGGGTTTAGGGTTTAGGGTTTAGGGTTTAGGGTTTATGGTTTAGGGTTAAAACCCTAAACCGCACATTTACACATGGCTTCTGTGGCTACACACTGGCGTACTCTCTCTCTCTCTCTCCTTCTCGCTTTCTCTCCCTCCCTCTCTCTCTCTCTCTGTCTGTCTCTGTCTGTCTGTCCCTCTCAGTCAATGTACGCAGGTGCCAAATCAGGGAACCCTAAACCCTAAACCCTAAACCCTAAACCCTAAACCCTAAACCCTAAACCCTAAACCCTAAACCCTAAACCCTAAACCCTAAACCCTAAACCCTAACCGCCAAACGACTCAGGGCTTTACATGGTTGGGGGCTGCGTCGGAAACCACGAGTCGGCGATGCTCGGGGCGAGGTTGAAAACGGGTCGGGGCGAGTCAGAAAAAACTAAACTCTGAACCCTAAACCCTAAACCCCAAACCCTAAACCCTAAACCCCGAACCCTAAACCCTAAACCCTAGACCCGGAACCCTAGACCCTAGCCGAGCCAGAAACTCCTAAGCGGCGAGTCGGAATATCTCCCGGAAAGTTTCACGGGCACAGCTTGGCATCTAGAAGGGTTTAGGGTTTAGGGTTTTGTGTTTAGGGTGAGGCCAACCGTAAAACTTAAACCCTAAAAGCCCTAAACCCGAAAAATCCTAAAAACACTAAAAACCCGAAAAGCCCTGAACCCGAAGACTTAGAACCCCAAACCCTAAGCCAGCCTGTTGTCGTACTCCCCCTGTGCTTTTCTGACTCGGCTCTTTCTATTCTCCGACTCGGACTTCTCAGATTTCTGACTCCGGCGCGTGTGTTTGTTCTGACTCAAGTTCGGACCCCTGAACCCCTAAACCCCTAAACCCCTAAACCCCTAAACCCCTAAACCCCTAAACCCCTAAACCCCTAAACAGCGTAACTTCCCTTAGACACTGACTCTCAGCACACCGGATGCCTAGGACCCCGAGCCTGTAGGTGGTTTAGGGATTGAGGGTTAGGGGGTCTTAGGGTGTAGGGTAACAGGTTCAGGGTTTCGGGTTTAGGGTTTAGGGGTAAATTTGGGTTTTAGGGATGTTTGGGGTTGAAGGTTTAAATTTAGGGTTTAGGGTTAGGGGCTCTTAGGGTTTAGGGCACAGGGATTTGGGGTATTTGAGTTTAGGGATTTTTGGGATTGCGGGTTTACGGTTGGTGGCTATAGGGGTTTTAGGAGTGGGCCGAGGGCGATTCCCGACAGAGAGCCGCAGCGATACCAAAGGGGAACCGGAACCTTAAACTGAACCCAAGTGCTCCTAAACCCTAAATCCTAAATCCTAAACCCTAAACCCTACACCCTAAACCCTAAACCCTGCTCCTCCCCGACAGCGTCTGTTGGCGGCTTTTGGGGAGAACTCGAGGGTGCAACCGGGCCAGAACTTTCCCTGGAGCCTTGGCTGACTTCTGAACCCCTCCTGAAAGGTGAACCTTTAGGCTCCTTATTGGAGTTTCTACAAAAACCCCTATAAACCCCAGCCCTCAACCCGAAACCCTAAATCCTAAGAGCCAGCCAGAAGAATGCCGAGTAGCAGCACACATCCTGCTGCCCCAATCTCTGTCCCATGGCGCAGCTTGGGTGTTGGGATTTTTCGGGTTTAGGTTTTATTTGTTTCCGTTCCTGGTTCTTTTGTTCCTGGCCTTCAGGGCCTTAGAGAGGCTTCGGAAGAAGCCTGCAACAAACTTCAAAGAGACCTGACACCAGCGTATTTACTGATGTACACGCAAAACCCTAAACCCTATACCCAAAACCCATTCATGCTTTTTTGAGCCCGCCCCATGACGCAGAATTCATCTCGACTGAAGGGTTTAGGGTTTGAGGGTTTGAGGGTTTCAGGGTTTGAGGGTTTGAGGGTTTGAGGGTTTGAGGGTCTACAGGGTTTACTTGGTTTTCAAGGCTTGGGGGGTTATAGGGTTTCTAGATCTTGTAGCGTTAGTAGGGTTGTACAGGCTTTAGGCGTTCATGGGGTTTGCGGGGGCGGGGGCGGGTTATGGATTTGCAGGGTTTAGGGGGATTGTAGGGTTTATTGCGTTTGGGGACATGCAACTTCATTGAGTCAACATGCTGCACGACAGCCAGCTAGTGGTCTGCTTCAGCAGGCCATCCTTATTCTATCTTCATTTGCTTCTTCAACAATATTCTATCCCAAATAAAGATCAACATTCTACCCTAAACCTTAAACCCTAAACCCTAAACCCTGCTTCATACTTCGTGTCCTTTAAGACTGATTTTCAATAGAACTCTTTCTGCCTTGGGGCAGCACCAGATCCTCGGATCGAGCAGTACAAGAGTCTCAAGCCATTCAGATTGCCCCACCAATACCTTCTGCTTTCAGATGGGTGAGACCCGAATGGCAGTCTACAAACATTAAAAAGGGAGCATACAGAGCCTGATGCTCATGTGGCTGCCAGTTGAGCTTTGATGGGAGGGGAATTCAGAGGAAGGAGGCTCGGCCCTAAGTTTGGGGGCTTTCGGGGTAAGGATTGGAACAACGTGGGCTGCCCCGGGATGCTCAAGTGGCCCTTGACAGCTCAACTGGTCAAACTACGCCTCGCTTATGTGCTCGGGAGGCGATTGGGTCTACCCCTCGAACCCCTAAACCGCGTACCGTATCCACCTTTTGGCTGCTTGTGCACCTAAGTCACCTTGTGGGTTAGGATTTGGAGTTTATGGTTTCTAGGTTGCCCAGTAACCTAGGATTAAAAAGGGTGCCCTTGTTTGCTTAAAGGGGTTTATAGGGGAACCTAGAGCCCCAAAAAAGGGAATAAGGGCACTACTGGGCATCCTAGGTTTAGGTATCTGCCAATATCGTCCTCGAGATGTGCTCCTGCGATGTGCAGCTCTTTGATCTTTTGGGGTGCTTAGGGTTTAGGGTTTAGGGCTTAGGGTTTAGGGTTTAGGGTTTAGGCTTGGTAGCCTAGCAACCACATTAAAATCAGGGCCCTTTTTTTGTTTTTACCTTATAAGGGTACGAAATCCGGCAGAAGGCCTGCCAGTTCATTCCTGTCCAGGCTGGCATGGTGTTCGAAGCCAGCTGGCCAGGAGCCCAACAGCGACGACAGCAGCTGCGGCGAGAGCATAACCGGAACTGATTTGATTTAGCTTGACAATTGCCACAGGCACCAAGAACCCACAGCAGCCCAGCATTGAAACTAGTGCTGACTGCACCCAGTCCAGCGCACGCGATGCAAATCGGGGTCTGGCAAACCGCTGCGCTAGCCAGAAGAAAAACTTGATAAGCCACACGCCCACGACGTCAACTGAGACGAACTGCGCAAGAAATCGGGCGACCACGACCGCCCGCGCATCCGCTGCAAGAAGTGCCCCGATGACGTCGAGATGAAACCCCATGACCGGACTTGCGGCCAGAAAACAGTATTTAAGTGGAACTCGATTCTGAGAAACGTTCTTCTTGAGCTCCTTTGCCAACACCTGCTGGACGTAGTTGACGAAGTGCGGCAGGCTTCCGTACCTTGGTAACTGGGGTTACCATCATATTAACCGGGCACCCTTTTTTGGGGTTGGTTACTTGGTTGAGGGAACCCAGAACCCCCCCCCCCAAACAAACCCTAAACCCTAAACCCTAAACCCCTGGGGTACCAAGGTACCAACGGGAGATAGCTGAATGGATAAATTCTCGGTCGCTCTCCTTGGTGCACGACGCAGCATTTAGGTCGAACTCCGCGAAGTTCCGCCACATCTGCTCTTGGTCCAGAAAGCCATGCCTTGCTGTGTGCACTGCAGGCGTCAGCCATAAAGGGGCCAGAGCCAGGAACCATCCAGGTGGAGGCTCCACCCAAGGGCTCAAGAGGAACACATACGAGAAGCAGGTGAAGACAAAGCAGCATATCCAGATGCAAATCCAGAAAACGAAGAAGTCACGCTCGATGAAAAGAGCTTGAACTCTCACCGTTCCCAGTGGATTGGCCCGCCGATATGCAGCCAATTCGAAAATACACCACAAGCGGGACCTCTGGTCAATAGGGTTTAGGGTTTAGGGTTTAATTAGGGTCAGTTTGTTGATCTTACAGGTTAAGGTTTGGGGTCGTCCCGTCGCCTTGGGGAAAGGCTAAAGTCGAAGGCTCGGGCAATGAGCATTCCCTACGCACAAGGGGCAGCACCCGGAATCAGTCCCGAGTGTTTAGGGTTTAGGGTTTAGGGTTTAGGGTTTAGGGTTCGCATAACCCTCCTGCAATTAGCCCAGCCAAGCGGCAGGTATAGCCGACTCCATAAGATCCGCAGTTGCGTGGACCTGGCAAGGAAGCCCCCGATCGAAGCGATGCCACGCTCTCGACTCGATGCGTCCTCTTGGTCGATGCTCACCAAATCGTAGAAACATCTCTGCGACCGACATCCAACAGCAGAGGCTGCATCTGGTGCGACGAACAGCGCGCCGAGAGCAACCAAGAACGTCAAACATCCACTCCAAACGCCGCATGGAACCTCTTGTGCCGCCACTTGGTAGACAAAAGGCATGGGCAACGCATTCACTTCGTAGAGTAAGAGGACGCTGATGGCCACCGCCATCCATACCACAAAGGCGGAGTGAATGTACGAGCTCAACAGCAAGGACAAGTACTTGTCGTATCCGGGCGTCATCCAAGTGTGGGAAATGAATAGATCGAACACCTGGCCACATGATCAAGGGGGATGTTCGAAATACCACAATATAACCATATGTCTGCTACTGACACAAGCCCCAAAGACGTGTGGTAGCTTCCTGCCTTTAGGAGACCAAGAGATTCGAGACGCTCCTAACCCTAAGCCCTAAATCCTAAACTCTAAGCCCTAAGCCCTAAACCCTAAACCCTGAACCCTATACCCTAAACCCGAAACCCTGGCCTCCGTCTCACTCGATGCTGCCCTCAACCTTCGGCACTCGGATGTGCTGAGGCTACCAGGGCGGAAGCGCCAAAGCCACCCAAAGGACCGCAGCATCGTATCCATGGAAACTGAACGGGGGCTCACTCCAGCGGCAAGGCCGTCCAGCAAGGAGCCTTCCTTAAGGGCCGTGGCAACCGGGGGTAACTTGGCTGCACTCAGGAGGGTAGCTATAAATTAAACTTTTAGCTGCCTTAATAAGAACCCCAATAAACCCAAAAAGGGTAAGGATCTAAAGTTGCAGTAAAGTACCACAAAGGTAAAAGGGGCTCACCTTTTGTTTTTGGGGATTTATGAACTTCTTCGGAGGGCGTGAAATACTTCAACATGCGAAGGTAACATACTCAGCACTTAAGGTCTTCGTCGCCCAGTAACCATCTTATAATAAGGGCACCCCATTTTTTGGGTCGGTTACAAGGGAACCCAGAACGCAAAAAAAAAGGGAAAAGGGTACCACTGGGCTAACAAGAGGTTCTTGGTCAACTACCAAGGACGAAGCTGAAGAGGACGGCACTTGTGCGAACTCACGATCGAGTTCATGAGATGCGCCGCCTGCTTCCCTGAGCTCGGCAAGCTCCACGTCGCAATCAAAGGTGCACATAGGCTCGTCGAAGTCCTGTGAGTGCGTTTTGTAGGGTTTAGGGTTGAGGGTTTAGGGTTTAGGGTTTAGGGTTGAGGGTTTAGGGTTTAGGGTTCAGGGTTTAGGGTGAAAGAAGGCTCCTAAGGACCCAAGCGAGGCCTTGGACTGCTCCTAGAAAGCTCTGAAGCCCTTAGGGTTTAGGGTTTAGGGTTTAGGGTTTAGGGTTTAGGGTTTAGGGTTTAAACCCCAAAACGCACATTCGAACATGTTTCTGTGGCTACACACCGGCAGAATCTCGCTCTCTCCCACCCTCCCTCCCTCCCTCCCTCCCTCTCTCTCTCTCTCCATCTCCCGCTCTCTCGCTCTCTCTCTATCTCTCCCTCTCTCTCTCTCTCTTTCTCTGTGTTTCTCTCCGTCAATGTAGGTGCCAAGTCAGGGGGCCTTTTTGGAGGGGTAGAGGACCGTACGGGAACGGGCAGGACCCCTAAACCCTAAACAATGCAACTTCCCCTACTTGGAGGTTATTAACCAATCATAACCGTACTGTTAACTGTACCTATAACCATATTAGGGGCCTTATAAGGGGCTATGCATACAGTTATAATTGGTTAATAAGTACCCTAAACCCTCAACCCTAAACCCGAAACCCTAAACCCGAAACCCTAAACCCTAAACCCTAAAGCCTGTTGGCTCTCAGCCCACCGACTGCCTAGGACCCTGGGACCCCGATCCCGGGCCCTGTCGGTGCTGTAGGGGTTTAGGGTTAGGGGCTTTTAGGGTTTAGGGGTATTTGGGGTTTAGGGATGTTTGAGGGTTGAGGGTTTAGGGTTAGGGGCTTTTAGGGTTTAGGGTTAGGGGTTTTTAGGGTCTAGGGTTTAGGGTTATTTGGGGTTTAGGGATGTTTGAGGGTTTAGGGCTTAGGGGTTTTAAGGGGTTTTAGGGATGCTTGGGGTTAGGGTCGAGGGCGATTCCCGACAAAGAGCCGCAGCGATACCCAAAGGCAAACTGGGAGCTTAAACTGAACCCAAACCCTAAACCCTAAACCCTAAACCCTAAACCCTAAACCCTAAACCCTACACCCTAAACCCTAAACCCTGCTCCTCCCCGACAGCGTCTGTTGGCGGCTTTTGGGGAGAACCTGCGGGTGCCAAGGGACCAGAATCTTCCCTGTAGCAGCACACATCCTGCTGCTCGAAAATCTGACCCATGGCGCAGCTCGGGCGTGGGGATTTTTTCGCAGGGCTTAGGGTTATCAGGATTTAGGCTATGTGTCACCCTAAACCCTAAACCCTAAACCCTCAACCCTCAACCCTCAACCCTCAACCCTCAACCCTAAACCCTAAACCCTAAACCCTAAACCCCTAAACTGTTCCTGGCTTGTTCCTGGCCATCAGGGCCTTCGAGGGGCTTGCTGCAAACTTCAAACCCTAAACCCTAAACCCTAAACCCTAAACCCTAAACCCTAGGGTCTAGGGTTTAGGGATGTGACTCCCAAAACCCTGAGCCCACTGGCTCATTCATCTACAGGATCAGGAGCCTATACGGATACTTTCATGATGTATATGCCAAGCCTAAATAAGCCCTAAACCCTACATGTTCGTCTCAGAAATAGTGACCTGAGCCTCCCATGATGCAGAATTCATCACGATTGAAGGGTCTGCAAGGAGGGCCCCCCTTACTACTTGGAGGTTCATGGTGCTTATTCACCAATTATAGCTGTACTTATAGCCCCCTTATAAGCCCCTCAAAAAGTACGGTTACAAGTAGAGTTATAATCTGTTAATCAGTACCATGAACCTCCAAGCAACTGTAGCTAAGGGTTTGGATGATCCCCCCCTATATGATCAGTCCTGAAAAAGGGATTATAATCGGGTGTACTATGATCCCTCTTATAGCCTAAGTATAACCCAACTTTGCGTCCTTATAACTATACTTATAACTAGCGGGGCCCCTCCTTGTAGTGTTTTGAGGGTTTAAGGAGTTAAGGGTTCAGGGTTCTGGGTTTAGGGCGTTTGGGCTTATAGGGTCTAGGCGGTTTAAAAGGGGATTTAGGGGGCTTTATAGTGCTTAGGGGGCTTAGCGGGCTTATGGGGTTTGGGGACATGCAACTTCTTAGTCAACATGCTGCGGCAGCAGCCAGGCTGTGGTCTATTTCAGCAAGAGCGATCTCATTTCGTCGACTGCGCGTCGACCGCGCCCAGTTCCCGCAGCTTGGTCGCCAAGTCGCCGTTCTTTTGCATCTCCTGCAGAGCAGGAAGCCCCAGCAAAAAGGGAAGGGCCCTAAACCCTAAACCCTAAACCCTACACCCTTAACCCTAAACCCTAAACCCTAAACCCTCAACCCTAAACGCCGAACCGTTTAGGGTTGAGTCGTTGAGTCTCTTGGGTCTTTGGGATTGAGGGAACTGCTGAGGCTTGCTTGGGACTGTTTAGGGTTTAGGGTTTAGGGTTTCGGGTTTCGGGTTTAGGGTATAGGGTTTAGGGTTTAGGGTTGGTGCAAGTCACTCGATAACATCGGCATCTCAACCCCTCCCTCCCTAAGGGTTTAGCGCCTGGGGCCTTGAGGGTTTAAAGTTTTCCCTGCCAGAGTAAACAAGCCCCTTGTTTCCTAAAACCAAGTGGCTCTTTTCGTCACCTCCCCCTTGACATGAGGGAGCTGTGCCCTAAACCCAAAAGTGCGCAGTCTAAACCCTAAACCGATTTGACTGGCTATAAGTCTTCGCTTCTCTATCTCTAAGTTTAGGGTCTAGGGTTTAGGGCTCAGGATTTGGGATTGTAGGGCTTAGGGCTTCGGGATTTTAGGGTATACGGTTTATGTTTTAGGGTTTAGGGTTTATAGGGTCTAGGCCCGAACCGCGTCAGTCCAGCACGCCATAGCCGTTGCCCAGCAGCCGACTCCCAGCAAATAGCTGTGGAAGCTGCGACTCACCTGTCAGCTCCTGGAACACTGAACTTATAAAGCGCCTTACTTAGGCCCCGAAGCCCTCAATCAGGTTTAGGGTTTAGGGCTTCGGGCTTAGGGCTCAGACCGGCAGGAGTGGGAGAACTAGCAGCAAACGCATGCTGCGCGCCGCACATCAAAGGCCACTAACCGCTCGAAAGGCCCTAAGCCATAAACCAGACCCCTACAAACCCTTTCTCTTAGTGGGTTTAGGGTTTAAGGTTTAGGGTTTAGGGTTTAGGGTCCTCTTCTGAAGTGCATGGTCTAGACCCAAGGGTAACCTAGGAACAAAAAGGGTGCCCTCTTTGGCTTAAAGGGGCTTATAAGGGAATCTATACACTAACAAAGGGGGAATAAGGGTCTACTCTGGGGCCCTGGTTGCAGTTTATCATACATGTTATAGTATACGTAGGTGATGAAAGATCATAGTATGTTCGATCGCCTTGTTTACAGCATGTGTTATGGCATGTCTTTAAAATTATGTTAGAGTATGTTATGTAGGTTAGTATCGTGTGCTAGGGTCTGTGAATGTAAATAGTATAGAGCATAACTTGGTATTTTAACCTTTTGTTTCATGCCCTAAACCCTAAACCCTAAACCCTAAACCCTAAACCCTAAACCCTAAACCCTTTAACCCTAAACCCTAGCTACATGGTCCCTCTATACGGGCCCAGAAGTGGGGATCCCCCATATACACACATATCTACCCTACAAAACCCAAGGGCCTGTACTTCAGAACGCTTTAGGGAAGGTAAGGGGCCATATTCATTAAAGGACCATGCAACTACCCGGAACACGGGTCCTAGATTGTTGTGGTGTTTGGGTGTGCGAAAACGTATGCTTTACCTGGGTTTCTGGAGGATTCCTAAAACAGGAGGCCAAAAAACAGCAAACAAACTACTTCGATGTTTACTGAATTGGGGGCTTTGGTGCTAAATGAGATCGTGCTTCAGCCAAAGGCATGGACGCTTGTGACAGCTTTTCTTCTTCCGCATCCTTGCGCAGTATGTTGTACAACGAGGCGAAAACGTGGAAAATACCAGTGTTTTGGGCATCGTCGCAATTGGCATGGACGCTTGTGACAACGTGTCTTGTTCCACATCCTTGCGCAGTCTGTTGTGCAACGAGGCAAAATCGCGGTAAATACCAGTGTTTTGGGCATCGTCGCAATTGGCATGGCCGCTTGTGACAACGTGTCTTGTTCCACATCCTTGCGCAGTGTGTTGTACAAAGAGGCGAAAACGCAGGAAATACGAGAGTTTTGTGCATCATGGAAGCAATATGAATGACGTTCTTATCCCCCCCCCCCCCCCCCCCCCCCAAGCCGGAAACAGGCCATAGATTGCCGAAAATGCCGAAAACCTCGCGGCAATCTAGGACCCGTGTTCCAACTACCCTTAGAAGCTTGGGGCAACCCTAAACCCTAAACCCTACAGCCCAAGCATTCCCAATGCTACCTCTAGAAAGCTAAGCTCCAGGGCAAACGATGGCAAACTTGATTCCTCTCAGACGGAAACCGCCCTGATCTCGGAACTCCAAACCCTGACAGCATCTGCAGAGCCAGCATTTAGGGTTTAGGGTTTGGGGTGGTCCTCCACAGCCTTCTTGACACCGGGGTTATACTTCTCATCCAGGCAGTCCACAGCCTTTGGCACTCCAGGAGCAAGCCTAAAACTCTCCAGTTAAAGGGCCCTCCCTAAACTCTAAACCCTAAACCCTAAGCCCTCAAAACCTCAACTCCCAATCAGGATCCGAGCATGATCTAAGGCATCAAGAGGTATTTTGTCTCCCCACCCTTATGAATTGACACCCAAGACCTTGAACCACCTGAACGTAAACAGGACCCCAGACCCAAATCCCTAAACTGTCCGAAGCCCAAAGCCCTAAACCCCAAACCCTAAACCCCCCAAACTGCCCACCTCCTCTAACTCCATGAAACCTAAAGCGCCCATAGCGCCCTTAACCCCAAACCCTAAGCCCTAAACCCTACACCCTAAGCCCTAAACCCTAAACCCCAAAACCCCTAACATTCCTGCAAAAGGATCCTCGTGAACTCAGTGAGGGAGCACCTTCGAAATCCCAAAACGGTCTGGGGCTTCGGGCCTGGGTGCCCTAACCCTAAACCCTAAACCCTCAACCCTCAACCCTAAGCCCTAGACCCTCCAGAAATCGGACGTGCCTTGAATGCAAGGCCGCTCTCGACTAGCGCCTGACAGCAGTCTGTTTATTAGGGTCTAGGGGTTTCAGGTTTAGTGTTTAGGGTTGAGGGCTTTAGGCTTTAGGGTTTTTAGCGTTTAGAGGGCTTAGGGCTTCGTTGCTCTGCAAGTCTGGACTAGACCACGGTGTGGGAAACACACCCCCCGAACCCTAAACCCCTAAGAGAACCCCATGACGTGAACCTTTGCCAGCCTTCAGTCTTGAGCCCTTGGAGGCTGTTGGGGGCGTGGGGCTTGGGGCCATTTAGGGTTTAGGATTTAGGTGTTAAGGCTTCCTGTACCACTGCTGGGATGAGGTTCGGAACAATCACATTCATTCGTTCTTGGGCTTTGATAGGCATTCATGAACATGTAGAGATGATGCTCAACAAAGACCCTAATCCCTAAACCCCACACCCAGCTTGCTTAAGGCTAATCGATGAACAGAAAAGCACAGTTCATGACTAGGGCGATCCTTGGCTAGGACCTTGAAAACTTGACCGCCTGGCTGTTATAATTGGAGGTTCATGGTACTTATTAATCAATTATACTTCTACTTGTAACCCACTTAAAGCCCCTCAAGTGCCCTAATTCGGGTAAAAGTACAGTCACAGTTATAAGTACAGTTGTAATTGGTGAAGAAGTACCACTAACCTCCAAGTAGGGGCCTTAAGAATTAGAATAGGGTTTTGGGGGCTAACTTTCCGACCCCTATATAACATAGCTTTTAAAAGGGCATGCCGGGAACCTCTGGCCCTGGACAGAAAAGAGCTCGAAACACCAGGGCTGCTAGAAATATCCGGGTTCAGGGTTTAGGGTTCAGGGTTTAGGGTTCAGAGCTTGGATAATAAAATTCTAAAGGGGTTGTACCTTGGACACTTACGGTTGCATCCTGGGTTTTGGGGAAGCTTCTTTAACACTACCTTGGAGCAGACCCTGGAAGCAAATAGAATAGGAACCCAGAGCCAAAACAAGTATAAAAGTATAGCACTCCAAAACCGTAACCCAGTAGCCCTAAACCCTAAACCCCAAACCCTAAAGACTCCAAGGAAGGACGACCTAAAGCTGGCCCCGCCTGCACAGCGCTGGCAGACAGATTGGCTTGCGGCTCCTGGCAGATGTCGGTGTAGGGTTTAGGGTAAAGTTTAGGGTTTAGGCTGTCAGGTCTTGAGGGCTTGGAGCTTACCCTGCCGCTCGAGGTAGGGGGGGCAAGCTTTGGAGTTGTTACTTGGCAGATGGCGGAAAATGCGGGGTGGTTGGTGAAAGCTACGAACAAAAAGCCTCCAGACTCCAGACCTTACATCCCCCTAAGACAGAAGCCTACATGGACCGTGGCTACCAGTATTACCAAGTAAACCCTAAACCCTAAACCCTGAACCCTGAACCCTGAACCCTGAACCCTGAACCCTGAACCCTGAACCCTGAACCCTAACCCCTAAACCCTAAACCCTAAACCCTAAACCCTAAACCCTAAACCCTAATCAAATCAAGCCCCTGTGCCGCCGGCTGGCCTTGAGCGTGCCCTCCATGAAGAGCACGACCTGTGCAAAGGCTTGGGATGCAACTTGGGCTCTGTGGGCTCTGTGGGGTTTAGGGTTTAGGGTTTAGGGTTTAGGGTTTAGGGTTTCGGGTTTAGGGTTTAGAGTTTAGAGTTCGGGTTTGGGGCTTAGCAGTTCAGGGATTTAGGGTTTGGAGTTTGGAGTTTAGGGTAGAGTCTTGGGTTTATATTAAATATGGTCTACAGGGCTTGCACGCTCATGATACAGCATATCGAGCCCATGAAGCCCGTAAACGATGGGCCCTACACACACAAACCCGATGAGCCGTACGAGCACTCTAAACCGTACAGGTTTTAGGGTTTAGGGTTTAGAAGCCCTTCAAACCCCCTGGCGCCTGTGCACCCCGAAAAGCCCTACAAGCCCAATGCACCCTATACACTCTATAAACCTTGCCCTGCAGACCCTTATGAGCCCCCCTAAACCCTAAACCCTAAACCCTAAACCCGGAACCCCGAACCCTAAACCCTAAACACCCATATATGGTCCGCTGCTCGCTGCGCCCCCCACCCCCCCCTACCCCATGGTACCCCCCCCAATGCCCCCCCCCCCCCCCCCCGCCCCCCAAATTCTGTCCCCGCCCCGCCCCCCTGTGGTTTGGGCCCCCCAGCGGGGTGGTGTGGTTGGGGTTTGGGTTTGTTTAGGGTTTAGGGTTTAGGGTTTAGGGTTAAGGGTTGAGGGTTTAGGTTTAGGGTTTTAGGGTTTTAGGGTTTTAGGGTTTTAGGGTTTAGGGTTTAGGGTTTAGGGTTTAGGGTTTAGGGTTTAGGGTTTAGGGTTTAGGGTTTGGGGTTTAGGGTCCTCGCCCCGCCCCGCCCCCCTGTGGCTTGGGCCCTCCTGTGGGGTGCTGTGGTTGGGGTTTGGGTTGAGGGTTTAGGGTTTAGGGTTTAGGGGTTTAGGGGTTGAGGGGTTTTGGGGTTTTGGGGTTTTGGGTTTTGGGGTTTTGGGTTTTTTTTTTAAACCGGAATCACTGGCGTGCAGCAATAATGCTGTCCGGTCCGTATTGTGAAACTGCTCCCCTACTCCTCCTCCTCCCTCTCCTCACATTCATAGTCCACCCCCAGTCGAACAGGTAGGACACAACCACGATAACGACCACCCATACCACATTCTTCATCTGCACGATCCACCCCATGGTTTTCACCACCTCCTCCACCGCCCACACCCGCAACCCAAGATGAAGTCGGACACGACGAGGCCAAGGTCATAGTCCCGGAAGACACAGTCCGCGGCGAGGATGAAGACGTAGCCCTTGGCAAGGACGTAGTCCACAACCCAGGCAGTTGCATCACCATCAGGACCGTGGCGTCGCTGTCGGAGTTGTCATCCTCCCCATCACCTCCACGACTTGCCACCTCCTCCACTCCTCTCTCCCCCTCACAAGCAGTGTCCAACGTGGCATCCGCGACTGCCAGCATCCCATCCTCAACCGCCAGCATCCCATCCTCAATCGCCATCATCCCATTTGCCACTGCCAGCACTCCATGTTCCACAGGCGCCCCGTTCTCCAGCCCACCATCCACCAAGTCCGTGCGCATAGTCTCAGACGACGTCGCCCCACTTGAAGTAGCCGCCTCTCCAATGGTACGCCTCGGTGAGCGTGATCGCCCGGCACGTCTCGGCGCTGAAATTTGCGCTTCTCTCCTGGCGATGCGCCCCAGTCTCCCGGAACTGTCTCGCCCACGTGACAGCCCGCGTCTCCCCCATGATGTCTCGAGGTCGCCGTTCACGCGGAAGTTCCACCCCACCACACCCCCCTCAATGCGGGATAGTATCTGCAACATGAAATGCGCCCCCCGCTTCTCCTCCTCCACCCACTGACGAACTCCCCAGCGTAGTTCAGGTAGAACTCCTTCTGCTCCGTGTCGCTCGAGGTGCTCCCTCATCTCCACCAACGCCACATCCACCTCCCCCTGTGCATCTTCCAATTGGCGAGCCTCATTGATGCGCCTCATGACCAGCTGTTGCATCAACCCACTGTTGTCCCCCTCCTGTGGGTCCCAGTCCATCACCTCGGGCTCGCCCCACTCCACTGGTGCCAACGGTATCTCCTCCTCCTCGACATCACTGAGCACGGGCGCCCCAAGCGGCGCAGGCCCCCCACGTAGAGCAGCAGGACCACCATGTAGACCTCCGTGTGGAGCAGCACCATCTTGCGGAGTAGCGGGAGGACTCGACGAAGACGCCCCACCACCAGCCACGCCCCCAAGTAGAGCAGCACCAACCTGTAGAGCAGCGGGAGGACTCGACGACGACGCCCCACCACCAGTGGACTCCCCATAGTAGGACACCGCCTGGTGCTGCGCCATGATGCGGTCCAACTCAGCCTGCTCCGTGATCACCGGCATCGCGTCATTGGGTTCTGGGGGCAAAGGCCCGACCCATCTGTCAACCCCCGCCACCCAGTCTTGTTCGTGATCTGGTTTGAGGAGCTCGTTGACGTAGAACTCCTCCGCGTCCTCCGCCCTAGTTGACTCGCCCCCAGGAGCAGGACGCACCGAGTCTGGCGACACCATCATTAGCGGAATGTGCTGTTCACTGATGTAGGCCGCCAGTTCACGCCGCACCGCCTCCCTCATTGCTCGCCCCCTGTCAGCTTGCTCCTCTTGAGCAACCCTCCAGGCGGGCTTCCACGTCCCTTCGAGCCAGTCAGCAACTCTCTGGCGTCGTTTCGCAGTGCGCTGGGGTCCCTGCCCCCCTGCCCACCAGCGAGCATCCCGGTGATCTTTCCAGGACGCCCCCCATCTCACATCCTCCCCCTGCGCGGGTGCCCCCCAGCCATCAGCTCCTTGGTGCGCTCCATCTTGCGACGCTCCGCCCGCCCCCGTGTAGTCGACGTTGTTGTCGTCGTCGCCCGCCCCCGTGTAGTCGACGTTGTTGTCATCGCCGGGCGGTGTGTCCACAGCGTCCACCACCGGAACTTCGACCCACTTCGTTGTCCCAACTCCATCACCTCCATTGTCAGGCTGCATGCGCGCCGTGCTCCCCACGTCCAGCCCCACCATCTTCCCAAAAGAGGGGCACATGTCCTGCACGAGGTTGTGTTGCATCTCTAGGCGGTCCACATCCATCACCAGCGTGTCCGTCGCGGCCTGGTCCTTGACGATCACCATCTCCACACTGACGATCACCACCATCACCACGCTGGGGGCCACCATCCGCCCCTCCACTCCCTCTTTGCCCCGTTCTCCCCGTCCACCGGTCCACACCCGGCCTGGTTTGGTCACCACGACGTACTCGAGGAATCCAGGGCTGAGAGGTGGCAAGCCAGTCCTCCCATTGGCGCTGCGTCCACCCCGTGCAGTCCGAAATGAAGGCAGTTCCCCCCGCTGTCTGTCAGGAGGTACTGGCGTCTGTTGTGTCGACGGCAAGGTGGGGTCATTAGGCGACCCAGCCCCCGCCCCAGGTCCAACCGCAGCGTCCACCACAGATGCCGGGATGCCTTCCTTGATGGCGGCTTCCCTCAGCGCGTTTGATCGTAGGGCCTCGGCCCAGACTAGTTCATGTAGTCGACGTTCCTGTGCAGCACGTAGGTTGCGTAGGTCTCGCCCATCATGTATAGTCCACCTCCACGTAGTCCCCCACCACCGCTCGCCGAGGCCGAGGACGACGAGGTAGCCCCACCCCCCAAACCACCCAAACGTGACGAAGAGGAAGACGGCGACGTAGTTCCACCAGCGTGTCGAGGATCACACGCAGCAGGTAGCGCCCCACCATCCGAACTTGCCATAGAGGGTGCCAACGGTGTAGGCGCCCCCATCTCCGGTCCATTCGTAGGCAACACCCCCGTCGTCGGCGTCCACGTAGGGGGCCGCCCATCTTCCCACAGGGCCTCTTCCTGCGCAGACCCCGCCTCTGCCCATTCTGCGCACCATCGCCACTCCCCGCCGCGCCCAGCGTCCATACGCCACTCGTCCTCAGACCACCCCCAACGGGACGGTGTTCGCCCCCCTGGTCGTGTCCTCCGCCGCCGTGTTCACCTCCGTGATCGCGTCCACCCTCCCAGCCACGCGCACGCCCATCATGTCCAGAACCTCGACCTCCACGATCTCCGCCGCCACTCCTTCCATCCCAAGCGTCACGTCCAGGAGCACCATCTCCCAGCCCAGCCGCCAGCACCATCACGGCCACGACGCGTTTGGCCATCACCGCTGCCATGGGCTGTCGGGCGAGGGGAGCACGGGGAACAAAAGCAAGAAGGCAAAGCCAGAAAGCTCAAAGCGAAAGAAACTGCCCGTTCCAAACTGCAACATCCCAAAGTACGAAATGCTCAAGTGCCAAGCTCAAAGATGTCAAACAATGCATCCAGCAGGGTGAAGCCGCGAAGTTAACACCGCGCCAACCACTGCGGCAACGTCGATGCCCACCCAACCCGGTCTTCTGCGAGGAGCGGCCACTCATCGCCTAACACTGCAGCGACCTGCCGCTCAACGTTATCCGGGTAGAAGCGCCCCGGGCGCCGCATGCCGAACGTGATGTTCTGCTCAGCATGCCACCACCGCAGGCTTCTCCACCCCAACATGCGAGCAGCCAGCCCCGGCTCCCCCCCCTCTCTCTGCCGCTGCCAGTGCCCCAGCAATTGGTGTTGCAGGCGCAGCACCTTAGACGACCACCGCTCAATTTTGGATGCCGCAAACCAGGCTCTCACTTCACGAAGCGTGCGTGCGTTCCAGCCCACCCAGTCCTCCCCCCCGCTGCCTGCCCATGCGAAACGCACGGCGCAACACCTGGAGTTGAACGGTGTTCGCCTTTTGTAGCTGCTCCTGAGGCCAATGCAACGCCCCCGCCCCCCAAGTGAACGTGCCCTCAACAAGGCTCCTCACCATGGCGGCTTTGGCTGCTCTGCTCCCTTGACCCCGAAGCAACTCATCATGAGCCCACGCAGCATTGTGCGCACGCTGCAACATCTCCGCCGCCTGTCCCCGCGAGCTCCCTTTGAAGTCCAAGTTCACCCCCAACACCCGAATCGAGTCGCCAACCACCACACGCTGCCCCATCACATCCAGCTGCCGGCGGCCTGCATACGCCCCGGAGGCTGCAACGGCGGTCTTAGTGGGGGAAGAAAGCCCCAGCTGAGCAATCTTCTCCGCGATGATGTGAATTTTCTGCTCGAGCGCCTGTGGGTCACTATCCCAAAGGAAGACATCGTCCTGGTACACCACCACCGCCACGGGCAGATCAGCCAATGCTCCCCGAAATGCAAGCCACCGAGCATCCGCTGTTGCCTCCTCGACCGCCAGTGTCATGAGCATGCCAAAGATCTCAGCCGATTCGGGGGACCCCTGCCGGATGCCCTTGTTGGCGTGAACAACGAGGCGTTCTCCTCCAGGCGCCACGCCGTCGAGCACATTCTCCCCAAGCTGCTGGAGCAGGAAGCGAAGTTCCACTGGGCACCCCCACAGTCCCTGGACGAGGTGCTCAGCCACTGCCCGCGTGCGTATGTTGTCAAACGCCCCACTAACGTCCAACTTCGCCACGAGCAGGGGAATGCGCCATTCGCGGGACACATCCCTGAGCCGCGTAGTCACCCCCAGCAAGTCAGCTGCCTGACGCTGTTTGCCACATGCGCTGACAGACGAAGGAAGACGGAGAAGGGGAAAGCAGCGGTGCATGATCAAACGGACCACCAGTTTAAGCATGGCACTCGACACAGCGATGGGTCGAAGGTCCCCCGGGCCCCCCGGTTGAGCGATCTTGGGGAGGAGGGCAAGCAGGCTACGGTCCCATCCATGACCCTCTCCATCACCCCGGACAACCGAGTTGGCAATGTCAGCGAGCACCCCATCACCCCGTGCACGGATATGCCAAAGAAGATCAACGCCAATGCCATCAGGGCCAGCAGCTGCACGGCGCTTCATCTTGTCCAACTCTCTCCCCACGTCCATGGGCTCAAAGGGTGTCCAGTCGTTCACGTCACAGGGCACTTGCTCGATCAAAGTCTGGAGTTCGGCATCCCAGTCAACCCCAGGCTCCCAGACTTTGGCCTCAAGGTGAGTCTTGATTTCTGCAGCAAGTTGTTCGCCGGTCCGGTCCTCAAGGAGTCTCCCCCACCACCCCGCCCTCCGTTGGCGCTGCGCTTGACGAGCACGATAGGCCCCCCAGTCCCCCCCCAGGAGGATTCGCGAGGTTTCTCCTCTGTCCTTTTGCCTGTCAGCACAGAAAGCAGAATCTCGGGATTTGCAATCAAATCGCTGATGACATTTTGGGCTTCCCTTGCGCCGTACAGCTTGGCCGGGTGGAGGCTCCTGGTTATGCAAGGTCGGACCCAAAGCACCTCAGTGTTTCGGCGTCAACGCCTGAGGTCGATAAGGTTTTCAACAGACTCTTCACGGTCCCGATTTGTGTTTCACCGAGATAGCTTGTCAAGTTGAACTTGGCAAGTTGCTCATGGTAGACCTTCCCAAGGTCTTCCAGCTCCCCGTAGAGTTTCTCCCGGAGGCTGTTGATGCGGCGTTCCGTAGCTTCCAGACTTGTTAAAGTCTTGGCCGCTTCAGAAACCAGTTTCTGGTTTTCAGCTTTAACCTTGGCAAACTCCGCCAGGTTCGCTGTCAGGTTTGCGTAAGCAACAGTGGGTGCAAACCCATGCATCATGAGCATGTACTCACGGATGAATGCCAAGAACACAATGGCGGCCAAAACAGCCCAGATGGCCAACATTGCCAATTGGGGCCATACGACCTTCACATAGACGACGAAGAGGAGGCAGCTGGCAAGGTTTGCTACCAGGAACAGGCGGCGCAAGTAGGTTTGCAAGAGGAGGTCCACAACCCACACCCTCTCTTTTGCCGGTAGCTTTGCGAACTCCTCCTTGAGCTTCCTTGAGGGCTCCTTGGGGAGTTTGATGGTGCCTTTAGAGCGCCAGTCAAAGAACCTCGTGGAAACGATCGCTGAGCGGGCCTCATCGATGGCTCCTTGGAATGTGACCTCCTCTTCCATGTCGGCCATTTGCGCAGTGTGATGCCAGGTTATGTGCGAGGGTATAACCTACCTACAGCTTGAGCCAAAATGGCTATAGGGTTTAGGGTTTGGGGTTTTGGGGTTTTGGGTTTAGGGGGGGTGGGGGGGGGGGGGGGGTTGGGGGGGGGGGGATACCATTGGGGGGGGTACCGACACGGGACACGGAACCATATATGAGGCTCAACTCCTCCGCTCCTAAGCCAGCAGGCGAAGCCCTGACAATTTCCCTCACGTCGTTCGGTTTGGTCTTGGGCTTAACACTAAACCCTGCACCCTAAGCCCGCGTTTAGGGTTTAGGGTTCAGGGTTTAGGGTTTAGGGTTTAGGGTTTAGGGCCTCGCCTGGAGGTCGCCCAGTAAGCTCTGGATGAGGTCGCCCATCGACATCTTAGAGTTGTCAGGGAGCTTTGTGCCCTGAACCCTGAAAACCTGCGAGCCCCTAAACCCTAAACCCTAAACCCTAAACCCTAAACCCTAAACACTAAACCCTAAACCCTAAACCCCAAGCGCCCTAAACCCTATTCTAATATCCGAGACCCTGAGCCTCCAATTCCCACACCGAAGAAGCCCAGAAGCCTCCTCTGCCGGAGCACTCTGTGAGCACTCTGTAGTTTAGGGTTTAGGGTTTAGGGTTTAGGGTTTAGGGTTTAGGGTTTAGGGTTTAGGGAGTTTTCGGGTTTAGAGTTTAGGGTTTAACCGTCTTAGCCTGTGACGCTTCTAGCTCAAGTTGTTGGGTTTCTAGGATGGCCCATCACACTCTCAGAAAATGCTTCCTACATATGGTCCTCTTAAACCCAAGGGTTTAGGGTTTAGGGTTTAGGGTTTAGGGTTTAGGGTTTAGGGTTTAGGGTTTAGGGCTTAGGGTTTAGGATTTAGGGTTTAGGGTTTAGGGTTTAGGGCCCAATGACGGAAAGTACAAAACATCCCCAGGGCCTACCGAGGTTTGATTCATGGTGAGAGGCTCCGGCTTAAGGCCCAGGAGCGGATGTGGACTCTGAGACTTGAGACTTGCGCAGTGAACCCCTAAGGTCTAGGGGGTTTAGGGTTTAGGGTTTAGGGTTTAGGGTTTAGGGTTTAGGGTTTAGGGTTCAGTGTTTAGGGTAAACATGCCCAAGGAAAATCTGCTGGGCCCCCGTTCAGTGAGCTTGCCACCTGTCCCAGGCGTCATGCGGATCATACCGCGCGACCTCGGCACAGGACAGGGGAAAACGCTGAGAGGGCATTTTCGGATTCAGGAGTTTGGAGTCTATCTGCGACTTGTAACCTACAAACTAGACCCTGAAACCCTAAACCCTAAACCTTAAGACCCTGAAACCTGTCGAAGTCCAAAGTTTAAGAGTCTAGACTTATGGGGCCCAGAACCTCAGGGTGTTGATTTCGGAGTTCGTGTTTTTCGGGGGTTTAGGGACGAAATCCTAAACCCTCAAGCAGCCCCGAGGCGTGTCGAGTTTACGAGTCTACTTTAGTCGGGAGTGGGGGACCGGGATTCCGCCAAGTGCCAGGGTTTAGGGTTTAGGGTGTAGGGTTTAGGGTTTAGGGTTTAGGGGTTAGGGTTTAGGGCCAGGAAGGGCTTGGCTTTTTGTTGGGTTTAGGACTTAGGGTCTTTTCCCAACCCCAGGTTTTGGGCATGGGGTGTCAAGGTAAACCCCACCCCGAAGAAGGAATTTAGGGTTTGGGATTTAGGGTTTAAAGGGAATATAAGGAGGACCCCTAGAAGGGACCCTTAATCTTGTTCCCCAATGTTCCCTATATTATGCCTAAGTAGCCCCTACGTAACCCTAAAGAACCCCAGAGTCTACCTGCCCCCCAAGATAACATGTTGTATCTTGACCCTAAACCCTAAACCCTAAACCCTAAACCCTAAACCCTAAACCCTTGGGGTTTCGGGTTTAAGGCTTAGGGCTTCGGGCTCCGGGTAAGGGCGGCTCTTGGCATCACGTGCGGCCTCCGCTCAGAATCCTGAATGCAAGCTGTGTCCCGAGCGTGTCAATCTCGGTCTTTAGCCTCTTCACCTGGACAGCATGACCCTAAACCCTAAACCCTAAACCCTAAACCCTAAACCCTAAACCCTAAACCCTGAACCCTGAACCCTGAACCCTGAACCCTGAACCCGAAACCCTAAACCCTCAACCCTGTTGAGGGTCGTGTGGCTTCAGGATTCAGTGTTTACACGGCCCAAACAACCTCAGGCGGGGTTCTGAAAGGCAGGAGACAGCTGAGGTCTCCTACTGTTCATGTGCGGGGTTTACAGGGTTTAGGGTTTAGGGTTTAGGGTTTAGGGTTTAGGGTTTAGGGTTTAGGGTTTAGGGTTTAGGGACCCCGAATACAGACCCCAAATAGTAGGATTCCCTTAAAATACGGACCCCAACAGGCGCAGCAAGAGCTTTTTCAATTGGCAGAAGGTTCCGGGCTCATATGGCTGTGGGTCTAAATAGGGGTATGTCGCGGTGTCCCGCCCCCCACCTGTGTTACATACGTATGTCGCGCCCATTTGTTTCATACGTATGTCGCGGGGTTTGTCGCGGCTGTTTCGCGCGTTGGTCTTGAAACCGAGCGCCCAATTTTTGGCTTGTCGCGGAGGCTTGTCGCGGACATGCTTGTCGCAACGAGAATGGCTTTGTTACAAGCCCTATGTCGCGGAAAGACGCCCGGGGGCCAGTTACATACCTAGACTTTTGACTCGCAGCCATATGTCTAAACAGATCTATATTGGGGGGTCCGCTGAGAGTAATATGGAATTAGAATACGGTGTCGGGGGTTGTTCTAGTATACTTATTTCGGGACCCTGAGGGAAGACCATGTCATCATTCCGACCCCTGTATCAATGAAGGGGTGACATGTCGAAAAATCGGGTTTAGGGTTTGGGTTTAGGGTTTAGGGTTTAGGGTTTAGGGTTTAGGGTTTAGGGTTTAGGGTTTAGGGTTTAGGGTTTAGGGTTTAGGGTTTGGGTTTAGGGTTTAGGGTTTAGGGTTTAGGGTTTAGGGTTCAGCATCTCTGGTCCAAGCATTCACTAGTTGAGCAGCTTTCAAGGCCACAGGGGAATACCCACCCGCCCATTGGGTCCCACACCATTAGGAAAAATATCCAACCTCCTTCTTCTCTAGGCACGTGGTCAACAGAATGGATTTGTTAACCACATGTTTCTGTTTCAAGCGGACAAGAAAACCAAACGTGGTCAACAGAATGGATTTGTCAACCACCTGTTTCTGTTTCAAGCGGACAAGAAAACCAACGTGGTCAACAGAATGGATTTGTTAACCACATGTTTCCATTCGGGAACTTATTCTTTTGGAAGCCATCTTGAGTTCTTGAGTCGTTTGAGGGGCTTCAGGGGCCTTAAAAACAGGCGCGGTCATTCGGAAACTTATTCTTTGGAAGCCATCTTGAATCGCTTGACTCTTTTGAGGGGCTCCAGGGGGGGTCATATATTTAGCGGGCAAGGTCATATATTTAGTGGGCAAGGTCGCCCTTTAGCGGGCAAGGTCATATATTTAGTGGGCAAGGTCATTTTTTAGCCAATGGACCTTACCCACTAAATATATGACCTTGCCCGCTAAATATATGACCTTGCCCGCTAAATATATGACCTTGCCCGCTAAATATAGACCTTGCCCGCTAAATATAGGACCTTGCCCGCTAAATATAGGACCTTGCCCGCTAAATATGACCTTGCCCGCTAAATATATGACCTTGCCCGCTAAATATATGACCTGGCCCGGGCCATATATTTAGCGGGCAAGGTCATATATTTAGCGGGCAAGGTCATATATTTAGCGGGCAAGGTCATATATTTAGTGGGCAAGGTCGCCCTTTAGCGGGCAAGGTCATATATTTAGTGGGCAAGGTCATTTTTTAGCCAATGGACCTTGCCCACTAAATATATGACCTTGCCCGCTAAATATATGACCTTGCCCACTAAATATATGACCTTGCCCGCTAAATATATGACCTTGCCCGCTAAATATATGACCTTGCCCGCAAAGTCATTAACATTTATATTATATATGAAAGAGTGGTTTAGGGTTTAGGGTTTAGGGTTTAGGTTTAGGGTTTAGGGTTTAAGGGTCCCAGTTTTGCTTGCGGGGAGGGGGCGGGGGTCTATTTTAATGCGGGTGCAGCATGAGCCAGCAACCACAGAAGTTAGGAGGGGTACCCTACTGTGTTCCATGACGTTGAGAAGGGAACAGGGAACCTAAGCCCTGAGAACATGAACCGTAAACCCGACAGTAAATCCTCAACCTCAGAGAGGAACCTAAACCCTAAACCTTCAACCCTAAGCCCTAAGCCCTAAACCCTAAGCCCTAAACCCTAAACCCTAAACCCCAGAACCTAAACCCTAAGCCCTGAACCCTCGATCTTGGGGTCTGGCCACGAAGCTCATGCCTTGAGCTGAGGCTTTGTTCTCTGCCAAGGCTTGCTTCACCGCCGCCTGCTGTCAGGGTGAGTTGGCTTACGGTCGGTTTGTAGGGAATGAGGGAATGAGGTACCCTATATCCCCTTATATATATATATATATATATAACCTTTAAGGGATTATATAGGGTACCTCATTCCCTCATTCCCTACTAACCGACAGCAAGTACCTCATTCCCTCACCCCCTACTAAACAGAAAGCTGGGGTGTGCAGGTTTGGGGCTTAAGGGGTTTAGGGTTTAGGGTTTAGGGTTTAGGGTTTAGGGTGAGTGGGTTCAATAGGCCTCCACAGAGACGACCCTTCTTCCTACCAGCCTACGCAAGCTTATCCAGGTTAGGCCCACAACAGCCATAGCGTATTGATACGATAGATACATTTTGCGGCGTTTTCTGGGGACTCTTTCTGTGTGTAGTTAGAGCAATTGCACCCGATCCTTTCGATGCTGGCAGACAACTAGCACGACCAGCAGGACAAACAGCAGTCACGGCACTCACACTTAAAGCCAGCTCCGTCCGGAGCTCGCGACGGAGGTTTGTGACGCATTTCGGATGTAACATCCGCATTTCCTTCTCTTGGTTTGAGCTTTCAAAGTAATCGATTCCTTCATGTTTGGAAGACAGGCCATAACCGCACAAACAGAAAGCAAACAAAAGTGGACTGAACAAAAAGAGGGAGAGCAACTTGTCGATGCTGTCGTAGTAATGGCTACCGGCATCGAAGATGTTCGATTGGAATGCATAACCCTCGCGCGCACGGTAGAGATGAACAAGTGTGCTAACTCTGATCACAGGTGTTCTACACCAACAGGCTCTGGACCCTGAAGTCCGAGCAATCTTGTCCACGAGCTCCTCCATGATCATTTTCTCGCAGATGCTAGCTAGAATTGTCCCACCCCCAACCCTTAAGCCAAGCAGCCCATCATCACCATCAAACATTTCGTCGTGCTTCAGCAAAAGAAGTATGGTGTGGAGCA